TCTTTTTTTTTTTTTTTTTTTAATTTTTAATGTTTTGTTCTTTTGAGACAGGGTCTGGCTATGCAGTTCAGGCTGGCCTTGAGCTCTCTTTGTAGCCTAGGCTGGTCTCCAGCTTGCAATGATCCTTCTGCCTCAGCCTCCCAAGTGCTGTGATTACAGGTGTCTGCCACCACGCCCCGCCTTAGTACATGTGAAGACAGCTTTAGATTCTCTTGCCTCAGCTTCCCAGAGTGTACTCATAGTCGTTACATTTGGCACTCATGCACTGACGTGGATCACAAAGCTATTTCATCCACTCAGAGTGGCACATGTCTGTAATCCTAGTATTCTGGGTGTCTTGAAGCAGGAGGATCACAAGGTTGAGCCCAGCCTGTATAATTTAGCGATTTAGCTCTGGGACCAGGATAGAGCTCAGTGTGAAAGTTTGGGTTTAGTCCCCATTACTGCAAAGAAACAGAATGTCCTTGACAAACAGTGAATATTGTGAATGAAAAAATTTGACCCTTGAATATTTAAAAATATTTTGTGGGAAGAAATGGGACATATACATAAAGCAGGAGGTAGACATAAAGTGCTTGTACTGCATAGTGGAGTGTGTTGGCTGTCTCAGAAAACTATTTGAATGGATGTTTGAATTGGAAGCTGAACTAGCTGGTTTTTTTTTTAAATACCTTTTTTCCCTGTTTTTAAGGAGGGTGTTGCTTTGTACCCAGGCTGGTCTTGAACTTGTAATTTTCCTGCCTCCGTCTCCCAGAATACTGGGATTATAGGCATGCACAACCATACCTGGCTATCTCTAGCCACTTAAAACTCTTGAGCCACATTTTACTGTTTTATTTAGAGATCCTTTTAAATTTTCATTTTACACATGTTAGATTTAGCATTATGAAGACTTGCGCACATGGGTTTTATTATTTTTTTTAAATTAATGAATTATTTTTTTTTGCTTTTTGAGATCGTGTTTCATTATGTAGTTCAGGCTGGCCTTGAGCTCACTTTGTAGCCCAGGCTGGCCTCAAACTCACAGCAGTCCTCCTGCCTCAGCCTCCTGAGTGCTGGGATTACAGGCGTGTGCCACCACACCCGGCCTCCACATGGGTTTTATGTAGCCCCCTTTTTTTCTTTCTATTTTTATTGTTTTTGGTGCCAGGAATTGAACTCAGGACCTTGCACTTGCCAGGCAGGTGCTGTGCTGCTGAGCTCTATCCCTGGCTCTTTCTTTTCCTTTCTCTTCCCTGAAGTATTGTAGTACAGATTTTCTCTTTACATATTTCAGTGTGCATTTGTAGAAACAGGACATTTTCTTACAGACTGACAACGCTATTGTTACCCTACAAAGTAACGTGTAAAAGATGTTGCATTGTGGCTGGAGTAGCGCGCTTGACTAACGGATCCAAGACCCTGGGTTGCATCTCTTGCAGTGTCAGGAAAAAAAAGCTGTATTGCTTGGATTGGATTAGGATCCAGACACGGTCCACACATTTCATTTGGTGGTTTTGCTTTTCCTTTTTTGGCACTGGGACATCTAGAGAGTGCTGAGCTACATGCCCAGCCCTTTTAAAAAGAGCTTCTCACTAAGTTGTTCAGGCTGCCCTCAAACTTGTGATCTTCATGGGTCAGCTGTCCAGTAGCTGGGATTACAGGTGTGCACACCACACCCTGCTTATGCTTTTTACACTTTGCTCTTTTTGTTTTTCATGTTACTGACTTTACAGAAACTGAGGCAGTTGTTCTGTATTTTGTCCAATAGTCTACAGTTGTCATTTTTGCTTTTTTGTGTCTTTTTATTCCTTTGTCCCTTTTTCTGTACTAGGAAGTAAGCCCTAGAACTGGTGGCTGTTTGGTTCTTTGTGGAGATACACATATGATTTTTTGGGTTTGTTTTGTATATATATGTAATGTTTTGTTTTTGAGACGGGGTCTCACTCTGTAGTGTAGGCTGGCCTTGAACTCAGTGACCTGCCTGCCTGAGCCTCCTGAGTGGCTGGGACTATAGGCGTGCACCACCATGTCAGGCGGCCATTTATATTTAAATTAATTGAAATTGAAGAAAGTAAATTTTAGTCCATTTTATAGGCCACATGGGGCTAGGGGCTACCATATTGGTTAGCAAGATTATAGAACCTTTGCATTGTCACAGAAAGTTGACAGCGTTACTTTGATTAGATTCAGGCTTGATTAGATTTAGGTCTGTTTTTATTGGCAGAATATTTCCTAGCTGATACTTTGTGGTTTAGATGATGACAGCTTGGTCTGTCCACTCCCAGAATTTTTCACAAGATTTTCACTTTATGAAAACAGTTTTTTGTTTGTTTGTTTGTTTTTGTTTTTTTTTCTGGTACTGAGAATCGAACTCACGACCTTACGCTTGCTAGGCAGGCGCTGTGCCGCTGAGCTAAATCCCCAGCCCCCATGAAAACAGTTTTGGCTAGGCATGTGGCACATGCCTGTAGTAATAGCACTTCAGGAGGCTGAGACAGGATTGCCATTAGTTAAAGGCCATCTTGAGCTACATAGTGATTTCAAGACCAGCCTGAACTATGAAGCAAGCCCCTATCACAAAATCAGAACAGCAGAACAAGAAGAGTTTTGTTTCTGAGTTAAAGGTTATGGTGAATGTTTGAGAAAGGTGTAATTTTAACACATTCATGACAGGGTCATAATTTATATGTCTCACTGCCAGGCACCTCTGAACCTTGGCAATACATGTATGACTGCCCCCCTGGGGGATGTGGGACTGTCATGCATGGCCACTGGTTCTTCAAACTGGTGAGAACATGTTAGAAGTTTAAAAAATTGGCTAGAAACATGTTCACACCAAAAGTTGTACCAATATTTTTACAGAAACATTATTCATAATAACCCAAAAGTTGATGCAATCTAAATGTCTTATCAGCTGGTGAATAGTTTAAAAAAATGTGTATGGGTTGGGCTTGATGGCACTTGGGAGGCTGAGGCAGGAGGAGCGCTGTGAGTTCAAGGCCAGCCTGAACGACATATTGAGACCCTGTCTGAAAAAAGGAGAAGAAAGTTGACTAACGATTGATTATCAGGTCTGAAGGAGAAAGGGAAACAGGGCTGCTGATTTAAAGGACAGTGGTACCTTAACAGAGGTTCACAGACAGAAATGTTGGGCAAAATTTTGTTTTTGTTTGCAAACTCTGCATTGGGTGATGAACATGGTTGTGGCCATCTTTCCCACACAAACACAAATGTGGCCATCTTTTCCAAAATTAAGTTCGTGGAACGGATTAATTCATGGGACAAATGGAACAAATTAACTTTGTGAACCAAGGTATGCCCCACTGTATAAGGTTCCTTTTGGGGTGATGTACTATTACAGCATAGTTAAGAGAGTTGCACAACCTTTTGCATGTATTAAAATCCCACTGAGTTGTATCCCTTAACATGGTGAGTCTAGCATGTGTGAAGCCGTGGATTCATTCCCCATTGACAAAGGGGAAAAACGTGTGTAGAAGGATGGATTTTTTTTGTTTGTTTGTTTGTTTGTTTGTTTTTCTGGTATCGGGAACTGAACTCATGACCTCGCGCTTGCCAGGCAGGTGCTGTGCCGCTGAGCTAAATCCCCAGCCCCAATTTTTTTTTTTCAGTACTGGAGATTGAGCACTGGCCCTTCACATTAAGCTAAATCTTCAGCCCTTGTCTTTTTGAGACAGGGTC